GGTTGGGCAGAGGCGGACAGAAGGGAGGAGGTGGGCTCTCACCCAGCCAGGCGAAGTAGATGGCAATCTTCTCCCCGAAGTACTGGCGGATGTGATCCAGTGGCTGGTACCGGTACCAGCAGCCCCACTGGGCCCAGAAGCGGTAGAGGACTTGGCGAGGGTTCAGGGCTTCATCGGGGACCTCAGACTCAGGCGTCTCGAAGGGGCCCTGGGTCAAGGCAACAGAGAGGGAGACGGGTCGGCCACCTGCACAGCAAGGGGCGACCGCGGATGGGGCAGGGTCTCTGTGGTGCCCAGGGGCAGGGCTGCCAATGGCTGTCTGGGACCCCCGCCTAGTGCCAGCTGAATGGCTGCTGTGACCAACCAGGACCTGCAGAGCCAGCAGCTGCCCCCCCAGTACCCCCATATCCCAACTCCGGAGGGATGTTTCTCTCCCAGGCCCCCCATATCCCAGTTCCAGAGGAACATCTCTCTCCCAGGCCCCCCCATATCCCAGCTCCGGAGAGATGTCTCTCTCCCAGGTCCTCCCCCCATCCCAGCTCCGGAGGGACATCTCTCTCCCAGGCCCCTCCACCCCATCCCAGCTCCAGAGGGACATCTCTCTCCCAGGCCCCCCCGCCCCGTCCCAGCTCTGGAGGGACAGCAGCCCACCCGACGGCCCCTACCTCGTGCAGCGGGAAGGCAGCGGTGTACACCCGCTCGTTCAGCAGCCGATTGATCCCGATCTCGGCGCGTTTCCGCTTCCCGTAGACGGTGCGAGCCAGGATCTCATAGACCTGCCGACCCAAGGGGCGCGGCGCCGTCAGCAAAGTCCACCCTCGCCAGGGCTTGCGCAGAGCAGGAACCCAGCAAGCCCCGGCTGGGCGCAGCCCTGTGGAGCTCACACCCCTGGACCTTGCACCAGAGCCTTGGGACACTAACGGGAGCCTTTGCATTGACCTATCTGGCCCAGCCCCCAGGGCAGGAGCTGCCCACGGCTCTGATGCCCCCACATTCCCCTTGGCCCGTGCTAGATGCAGGGCAGAGGGAGCCTTCCCGACCCTTCCCCAGGCAATCAGCCGTGCCCTGAAGCCTGAGATTGGATTCGAACACACATCGCTGGTTCTAGCGTTTCCCACCAGCTGTGGGGCCCGCGGAGGCTGAAGCACAGAGCTGGGCCCGAAACCATGAAGGGGGAATCTGAGTTGGGGTTTCCACACAGGGAGGCTGGATCTGGGGGGTTAAATCAGCCCATTAGAGAGCTGCGGGATTTCGATCTGGCCTCCCGCCACGTGATGGGTCCGTGGAGCTGCCTCTAGGGCAACGGGGTTAATTACGGACGCGGGCAGAGCATGGCTGGGGCAGAGCAGTGCTGGGAGGGGGCCAGGCTCCCCCCACCCTACTTACGATGCGATGTCTCTGGGTGTTGCTGAAGTAGGAATCCCGGGAGTCGCTGCCCAGGAACCTGTGGGGGATAAACAACAAACAGCCCCGCTGCGGTCGGGCCAGGGGAGGAGAGAGCAAGGACGGTGCTGCCTGGCGGGCTTGGTCCCTGGGCCTGGCGTCCCCGCCACCTGGCAGGCGTCCGGTTTTCGACGGGAACGTCCAGTTGAAAAGGGAAACTGGCAGCGTCCGGTCACCACAGCTGACTGGGCACTCACAGTCCAGTTCCCTGCAGTAACCGGCCTCTGCCACTGGGGGGTGGGAAGAGCAGCTGCTGCTGGAGCCTGGAGGAGCGAGAACCGGCTGCTCCCGGACCAGGCTCCAAAGGAGGTACCTGCGCCGTGGGGTGGGGGGGCTGTTAACCTCTCTGCCCCACACACCCCGCTGTGCCCCCATTTCCCTA